CTTAGACCCAAAGGTCTTATACTTGTGGATCCTTCTCTTTTTGTTGGGATCCAAATAACTTTCTTTATTTTCTGTAATTCTTTGCACTCTACGTCAATGACGACTCATCTTCCAACTTACTTCTGAGAAATCTTTCTTACTAGGAAAAACTAAATTATTCACTTAACGGAAATCTAATGTATTCACAAATATCATACACAATCTTAATAATTTAACTATGCTCACACTGTCAATCTTGGAGAAACCACATTTCGATAATTCCTAAAGGTTATTCTTCTATAGTTTGCTCTCTCACTGCCTAGCTGATTTTTTCCCCACTGTCACTGTACTTCAGGTTTAACTTAAACTCTTTGGGTTCTAACATGCGTTCGGTATTTCAAATTATCATCCACTCATTAGAGTTAACCTGGCTAAGTGAATCAAATTGTACCTCTACTAGCTCTACTAAAAGTGCTAACTCACTGAATCAACTCAAAACTTACTTATTATCCTTTTTTTTCTATGTACATGGATCACACATAAAGAAAGTTCATATGTCTTAAACGAAGAATATCTAACCCCAAACTTTCTATACACTTCAAAATCATTTCCGACTATAAACATTTGGAGTAAACACTTAGTCACATAATCTAAGGGGGAACTGCCATATCTTTTATCTTACATCAATAGCTGCTTCTTATAGTAACTTACTAACGTGGTACTTCTAGTTTTGATTTGAATAAATATGAACAACTTAAAATCGTTCCCTGAAATTCACTATTGGCTACTCTTGGTTCTCATTGCATACATCATATCTTCTAGTCATTTGCATGAGTTCTATGAAAATAAATCTCTAATAATAACAATCATTTTTGACTCCTAGGTATTTTACCCTTAGGCTCTTTTTTGTCCAAACTATAGTGACCAATGTTAGGGTCTGACATCTGAACTATCATCATCCAACTTGTGGCTCCATTTCCAAAAATTAAATAAAGTTGTTCTAGGAGGTAAAACACATACGAACACACTACCATGCACAAACTTATCTTTCAAAGTATACCATCATCTGATAAATGACTTCCTGTGCCCTCCAGTGAGTCTTGGTCTTAATCCGGACCTAAAATATGCGAAGATTTCGCTATGATCACCGTTACTTACATTTTCTTTGAGTATGCATCACTGTATACTCACAAGTCACCAGAAATTTTGATACACTGAAAATTAGACATTTGGTAAACGTATAACTGAATACTGGTGTACTGAATAACCATAAACTTGCTAACTGAAAGACTGTATAACTGGTAATTGAGGTAAACTGATAACCATAAGACATGATAACTACTTTTGTACTTTCTGATAAGGTTATGCTCTAATCTGTACTACTATCCATTGCATCCCACTTTTAACATCCTCTCAAGTCTCATATTTACCGACCTGTACTCCATAATTATACCCCAATATAATGGGCAATTATCCTCTCTAGGACCTTAGGTTTCTCCTGCGCGTCGCTTGGGCGTCCAATACGTTTGGAATTTGATAGGAAGAGAAGGCTAACTATTTCTCTAAGCTTCATGGCACGATCTAGAGTAGAAAGAAATGGAACAATCCTAGATGTCTTGGTAGTTAACCGTTTATATGAGTGGCCGGCGCACACATATAAAGGAAACTCCACTGGACACGGCTTCATAGACTCCCTAAGACTCTTGAACCTAGTGCTCTGATACCAAGCTTTGTCACGCCCCGAACCTGGGCCTGGACGTAACAGGGCACTCGATGCTTGTCTACATGTGACCGAGCGAACCAACTGGCTGGCTGAATCAACATGTGGTATCATAACATACTGAATGCGGAAGATAAACTAACACATGCTGATATACTGAAAGTCTGGATGATATAAATCAAAGTGCAAAAATACTAATACAATTCTGAAATATATTTGTAGCCAACATGGCTTAATATGAAAAGCCTGCGACTTTGTCTAGCTGTTACTCTAGTCTATGAAGCCTCTAATAAAGTACTGAAAACACTAACTGTCTGAAAGTACTGAAGACTGTAAGGTAATGATAATGCCCCGAAAGAACTGGGGATCACCAAATAGCTGGTACGAGAATTCTAGTGCTCTGAATCGTCAACCTGTAAATCATTACCTGCATCGTGAGATGCAGGCCCCGGGCAAAAGGGACGTCAGTACATTTCAATTGCACTGGTATGTAAAGAAACTGAAAGAAAGAATTATAAATGCTGAAACTTGAAACTAAGCTGATAACTGAGAATTGATAATTGGTGCTGAAATGATAACTATTGAAACAGAAACTGAAGTTAAATAGCTGATAACTGATAACTAAAATGATAACTGATAACTGAAATGATAACTGATAACTGAACTGATAATTGATAACTGAAATGATAACTGATAACTGAACTGAACAAAGGAAGTAAGGATATGAATACTCCCTCTTCTGAATGATGAACAACCTGTTTATCTGAATAAGCTACGGCTTCGGGCCCAATATATATGTGCACAAGCTACAGCCTCAGGTACTAGAACATGTAACCAGTGTTCATAATCAGTTCAAGAATATATATCTCAGTCTAGTCCTATTCAGTATTCCAGTATTATGTAACTCAGTGTGATCCAGTATTCCAGTAACATGTAACTCAGTGTGATTCAGTATTTCACTATCATATATTGTAGTATGATTCTCAGTTCCTGATTTTAAATCCCTGAATGCTGAACACCTGTATTTGGGCCTGAGGCCGTAGTTTATATGCTTTATGAATACTTGGGCCTGAGGCTGTAGTTTATGCTTTATGCATGTTTGGGCATGAGGCCGCAGTTTATGCTTTATGCATTTTTGGGCCTGAGGCCGTAGTTATGTATACGTTCAGCGAAATTATTATAGCAGAAGGGTATTTTCGTCCGGGCGGGTAAAAGTTTATTAAAGCAGTGGCTAAAGACCAAAGATATTTTAAACAGTGGCTTAAAAGTAAATACATGTCTTATTACTGGCAAACTATGCCCTTCCCCCAAAAAATGACGCGCACTAATCCATCAATAAATGGTCCAATAATAGCCCACGTAAGGCAATCCAGGTCAAGTTATTTGGGTTAACCATTACTTTTGGGATTGGGCTGTTGATTTTTCTTTCATATTAGGCTTCTAGTTGACCCAAAAACATTTTTTTCCTCTTTATCTCTTTTCATGTTCATGTATATCAACAAAAACAAGATGAACAATTTTTCTTTTAAAAATAAAAAACATGAGCAATTTCAAAATTCTCCCATTTTTCTATTGTTTTCTCAAGCTTGCGAACTGAATAAAAAGTTTTTTTTTTAAACTGAGCAATTTTTCCTAAATATAGTTTAACTAGTTTTGACAAATTATTCACACTTCTAAGACTACCAATCTAAACTTACATATTGTTATTGCGTAAATTTTAAATAACTAAATTATCACAAACGGAAAAGGGCCAAAAATATTCCTCTACTATCCGAAAAGGATTATTTATACCCTCCGTTATACTATTTGTCCATAATTGCCCCTGAAGTTATAGAATTAGTACAAAAATACCCCCCATGCCATTAGGGCCCTCCATCATGGCCAATAACATCCCACATGGCCTGATATTTTGCTAAGGTGGAGGCCACATTAGATGCCACCTCAGCGCACCAACCCAATTTTATCACCTTCCCCCAATTTTTCCTCCAATACTACCTCACCCTTCACCTAACTGGATATATCAAATTTGGGGCACAATCTAAGAAGAGAATGCATACTCATTTGATTTACAAGCTTGAGTTTCCAGCATAGAATGAGAAAAATGAACCCCCAATTGGAGTTGAACATAAAGTGAGAATGGTCATTTATGATTCAGATCAAGAACTTAGATCAAAATGGAAGTGGGTCGTAGTTTAGGAAGACTTCAGAATACGGCATTTCTGACACATACAAGGTGCTCAGTTGATACACCATACTGTAGACCTTCCGATGGTCGATGAACATATAACTATATAAGAAGGATTTCATCTTTGAACTACCCCATTAAAGACAAATGGAATATATACAAATCCTTTTCTTTGGATGAACACCGAGTAAGTATAAATATATAACTTTATGGAATCATCATAAAAAGTTCTATTCTCATCTAACTGAAAGACTAAAAAGTAAAATAGCAAATGGGTATCAATCATAAGTATGTTAGGCTTCAAAGCATAGTCTATTTGAATCAAGTAATGTGACTGGCGGCCAACAGTAAGTAGCCAACCACAAACCATTTGGTAAGTCATTCTTTCTCATTACAGCTTGCCTTTTCAACATTATCAAGAGAAGTGGAAATTTAAATAAAATAACAATAAAAAATCAAAAGAGTACAATATATTAACAAGAAGAAGCAATATGGGGTCCTGAGACTAATACGAACCACAAAATAAGTATCAATTTGCAATTATATTTCACTGCCAAAATACTTCAAAATGCAATCTTGAAAAATAAGCAAAAAACATCCCGTGTAGAGAATGGTTAGGTGAATGGAGAAGTGGTCTTGGAGGGAATATTGGGGGAAAAGGGTAAAATTGGGTTGGTGCACTGAGGTGGATCCCATGTGGCTTCCACCTTAGCAAAATGTAGGCCATGTGTGATGGTATTGGCCATGGTGGAGGGCCCTAACAGCATAGGGGTACTTTTGTACTAATTCTATAACGTTAGGAGCAATTATAGACAAATAGTATGACGGAGGGTATAAATGATTCTTTCTGCATAGTAGAGAGGTATTTTTGACCCTTCTCCGTATTACAAATGTGTGAAAAATCAAGCTTAAAAAGATATACTATTCTTTTTCAAAAAGAATAGTGAGGTTCATTAATCATTTGAGTAATTCATACCAAGAGTGTAAAATCATTCAAAACTAGAAAGGAAAAAAGAGATGACGAACTTAATAATACAGTATAACTTCAGGGGTATCATAGCAAATATATTCCCCCTCTTTGCCCTGAATAAACCCCTGAAGTCCGTGTTACAACTATTTAAACCCATACGGCAGACTCAAAAACCCTAGCCATCAAAGTTCTAAAACTTTAAGCTCGCCGCTTCGGGTATCAATTTCACTTGTTCATCTGTCTTTCTTTTTTCCTTTTGTCCCTTGAATTTTTGCTTATGTTTTTTTCTTGCATTCAATTGTGAGCTGAACAATGATCTGCCTCTGCCTATGATGGCATTAAATATACTTTGAGTATTTTTACTATGAAACAAATTTTAATCTGAGGCTTGAGGCTTTATCAGTTTCTCTTTTAGTTTTTTTTTCATCTTTATTTGAGCTTTTTCGCCTTATTTCATGAAATCAGATAACTAATGGTGTTGATTCGTTGATTTTGCGTTTGTTAATTGAGGCATCTGATGTGTTTCTGCTAAAGAAAGGTGCTTTCTTGTTAGATGTCTGTAGAAAACCCCTTTTCAAAATTTTCCTTTTTTGGCTTAACATTTTTTTTTTTTTTTTTTGCATTAGTCCTTGCAAATGATGATAAAACAGACAGGGACATCAGCACCCGTTACAGGGGATGATGATTTGTCGATGGGAATCTCTCTGATGCTTGATACTAATGTTAATTGTTACAGTGCGGACTAGCATTACAGTTGCTACTGTTTTATATTTCTATTCCTGTTATTGTTCGTATCTGATGTGTAATTATGTTTCCTTAACCTACCATTAGTGATCAATTAATTGCTAGAACAACGTTTCTTATAAGTCCGCGCTTTAAAAGTTTCCTTTTTGTTGTTGTTGTTAAAAAGAGTTTCCCGGCAATAAATTTGTGATCTTTAGATTTAGACATCGTGTCATATCTAGTTAAGACATTGCTAGTGCTGCATTTGTTGCACACAGAATGATAGCTGAATGATTGTCATCATAAATCACCTCAGCAGGGGAGGCCCTGGAAATATTTTGACTTTGCTAGTTTGCTTGTGTGTTGGCTTTGTTTATTTTGAAATTATGTGTTTCTGGTTCATACTATCTTAAACAAGAATGATGATGTTTATAATTGTCACCTATTAAACTTGCATACTATACATTTGTTCTTGTTTTGTTTGCTTGGAAATGATTTTTGAGGGGTTGTGTCATTCGTTGTTTGCATGCATATATTACAGAAGCATAATTGCTTCTTCACTGTTTTGTTGATCATGCAAGTATTATTCTTCATCATGTCTAAATGTGCCTATGATGTGTGCATTATGCACGTATTATCTTGATATATAAAGATGATGAATACCTAATTGTCACTACCTCTGAGGCACATCTTTTGTTTTTCATTTTGATCTTTTACTCTCTTGTGGTTAGCATTCTCTGTGTTATTGTTTCTTGCACCTATTTGTCTTTTGGTTGAAGCCTGATGATTGTCAATTAAGAACGGAGATTTGAATGATGCTATCTGTTGAAGCCTTCTCATTTGTTGGGCTCCAGTGGCATCGCATGTGATCATCTTTCTTATGAATGATGAAGGCTTTTTTGAAGTCTCATACTTGTTGCACTACAAGAAATATCGCTTTCCTTTATCTTGTAATTTAGTAATAGATTTTATCAGATATTTTCCATAAGAACAGACTGCTAGACCATAATAGATCAATATAAAACTTAATGATGGCATCATGTTATGGTTGTTATTCTTGATGCATTCTTTTAGTAGTAAGTATGTTTTAGTAAATTTCTGGAGTTTGAGGTGGGGATAGACAGAGCAGGAGGTTCCATGTAAGCTGACTGATGGACAGGGGCGTATCTAGTGTTGGAACTCATTAATTTATATGAGATGTGATAAATTTGCAAATCTGAACCAATACAATTCAAAATCTTGGATCCGCCTCTGCTGATGGAACACTCAATAAATACAGTGACAATTCATATCCTATAGTTACTTTCAAAGACATATACTTTCTGCAGTTTTATACAATGGTGGAATTTACATAATTTGTTATAAGGCCATCGTTGTCGAAGGTTCAGATAGGCTATGATGTAAATTTTACTGGGGTCCTTGAGGAAGGTTGATGAGGGTATAGTGCTCAATATGTTTCTTTATAGTACTCCCTCCGTTTTATATTAAATGAGTTACTTTCTTTTTTAGTTTGTTTCAAAACAAATGATACATTTAGAATTCAACTTTAAACTCTTCATTTTACCCTTTTTGCCCTTGATGAGAAGCTTTTATAGCCACACAAATGGCATGGCCTCACAAACCTTTTACCCCTTAAGCTTTTATGATCATAAGTTTCAAAAGTTTCTTTTTTTTTTTTAAACTTCGTGTCGAGTCAAACTACCTCAAATAATATGAAACGGAAGGAGTATTCAATATCACAGGAATGTTTAACATGTACATGTACCTTTTCTCTTTAATGTCTATTTCTCTTTAAAATTGCTTGAGGTTATATTAAACCATGTCCAAGTAAGCCCAAAAGTTGTGAGAACAGTTAAATATATTTTTCCGATTGAAGCTTAACTGAATATTTTTTTTTTAATACATTCTTTCATTTAATATAATGTAGTTTGATCTGGAATTGACCAACTGTATTCTGCTTGGGTGGTACATATAGCTTCATACCAAACCATTGACTATGTTTTAAAGTGTTTTCTTCTCTTTTGGTCTCTAGATTTTAAGTTGGTCTTTAGTTATAATCTTTCGAGATTTTCGTTGAAAGATTGAAACAAAGACATAGAATTGCCAAACTTTTTGTCCCTCTAAATCTAAATCTTGGAATAGGGTGATAGACAAAGAAGTGTTAATTTTGTATTTCTCGACAATTCATGATTTAAAAAAAAATTATAATTATATTAGGAACAAGTAAAACGGCAGTTAATGAAAACTAGTGGCATTATATTCTGGGACTAATTATAAGTGGATTGTCTACTTAGATTCCATTTTGGTCTTCAACTATTCTTATGCCGATGGTATTAATAGAATATTCTTGTTTTATATCTTAATTAAAATAAAACATAGATTCCTGCATAATTTAAACCAACATTGGTCATGCAAAGTTTGATGTGGTTAACCAAATGCTACATTAGTTATAGGTAGTTTTGTACAAGAAGTTAATCATTGTACTTTTAATTATGTTAAATATATGATAGGACTATATTTTCTTACACAACCAATCAAAAGGAATATTTTCGTCTGCTACGTATGGATGGCAAATGGGGCGGGACGGGACGGGTCCTAAATTTTTTTAAAAAAATTAACGCAGGGCGCGGGGCGCGCGTTTTTAAAAACCTATTTCTGCGTTAAGTTGTGGTAGTATTAGTAAAGCAGAGTTTTATAGTGGAAATAAAATGATGAATTATTCATATAAAATTTATATATATTAGTAACGGAAAAGGTTCAAAAATACCCTTCAACTATTGAAAATAGATCAACTATGCCCCTCGTTTGCCTTTTGGCCCGAAAAAGCCCCTACCGTTAACCAAAGGGAGCAAATATACCCTTCCCACCTAACGGAATACCACGTCAGACATCCTCAGAAGTTAGAATCTTCCAATCACCCGATCCCTCCTTCAACAACTCTATCACCACCAACTTTTAGACATAGTTGTGACCAACCAAAATAGTAAATTGAAGCTTACGACAATAATAGAAAAAAGAAGGTGCCTCCATATTCGGCTAAAGGTAATGATTCATTTTCCAACTTCACTAGTAAAATCTGCACATAAGAAATTCTACCCCCAGCCTCCATCAGCGAAAAAAAAAGCAGACCTCCGATAGCAAGAGAGACCCAGACTAAAAATATCATAAAAAATTTCCCGATCATCAAAAATCACTCCACCATCATCCTTTTCTGGTGACAATTTTTGATCGGGGGTGGTGGGATTTTAGATGGTGGAGATGATCAGATTTGGTCTCAGAAATGGTTTAGAAAGCGATTTTTTAGGGTTGGTCTTGGTCCCTCGAGAGAAATGGTGGAGGATGTTGGTTGTTTTCCTTTTTTCGGTCAACGTGCAGCCTGGAGGGGTGGACTTTGGGTTGAATGATTAAGATGCAGAGAGGTGGAGGCATGGTGGGTTATCACTTGTTTAGCTTTAGATTTAGATATGAATATGAGATTTGAATAAGAAACAAAAGTAGGCAATTTATCTAATGGGTCTTCAAAGCTTCAGCCATGACAGTGGCGTCACTGGCGATTGTTTAGTCTTCGAAAAACGATATACGAGGATTAAAATCATAACAAATTAGTCTTAGGTCGGGGTGCGGGTTTGTCCACGCTGGAGTTCCATATCAGCAATAATATGTATTTTTTTAATTTGGTTTCATCCGAGGTGGTGCTCTATTAGGTGGGAAGGGCATATTTGCTCCAATTGCTTAACGGTAAGGGCTTTTTCGGGCTAAAAGGCAAACGAGGGGCATAATTGATCTATTTTCAATAGTTCAAGGGCATTTTTGGCCCTTTTCCGTATTAGTAATGCAGATTATGCCTTCTTTATACAGCGAACCAAACGAGCCATAAATGGCGCAATAACACTAGATAAAACAAGTATAATGTTATAAATAGAATCCTATTTATGGTGAATGTCCATATTTAGAGAGATTCTAGGGTTTATTACTTGGTGGCTAAGTCAACCTCTCCCTATAAATAGAGGATTCTATTCCCATTGTAATTCATCCCATATCAATAAGAATTCTCTCTCCCTACTTTTCTCTACAATACTCTTCTTCTTCTTTTATTGTTTCATAACACGTTATCAGCACGAGACTCTAACCAATTGAGTAGAAGCTTTGGGATTGATCATAATGATTGTCAATTGTTATATGAATTTCCTTCATGCTTAAATTCTAGATTTAAGGTAAGTATTTTACCGTATTTTTCTCTTTTATTCTATAATTTGGTTTTAAATACAAGCAAAGACAATAAATTTTGATTACAACTCTAATGGAGTTTGTAAGAAATTATAACCACCTGAAGTGGTAAAATTCCTATGTCTTGCCATGATCAAAGTCATGTATGATCGTGAGCACAAGAAGTGAAAACCCGTCCCATTGAATTTGCTCCATTCTCATTCCCTTAAGAGAATGTGATAGCAATATGTGATAAGTCTGAAAGAAGACAAAATTATTACTGTGAAGGTATTAATAGATGTGGACGTGGCAATAGACGAAATTATAATCGTCATCATTGTGATAATGAGAATAATAAGGATTCTCAAAATAATCCTTCACTCTGTGAAAGTAATATTTGTCATCGATTTGACATGAGATTTTATAAAGCACATATAGATGATTATGGTCCATTCATGATGTGAATGTGACAACATCTTATTTATGAATACATATTCATTCTTGGAAGAATATGAACGTGCTAATGGTAGTGAATATACCACACTCACCTTTAGAGGGAGGTTTGAGATGATATAAGAAAACAATGTCATTATTATGGCATGAATGGTCATTGATCACGTACCTATTGTACGCCAAAATATTTTGGTAATGTGATTATTAAAGAATAACATTAATGCAAGAAACATATCTTCCATATAATTTTGACCATAACCATAATGGTATAACTTTCTCTTTAAAAAAGATATTCACCATATGGATGTTGATGAATATGTGGTAGTACAAAATTAATTGAGAACTCTACAAGAGCCAATTATACTATTTTGGAGAAACACAATTAATTACCAATAAGGTATTGTGTTGTAGTAAGTCTCAAAGAAACTTATTCAGTTTCCAAAGTATACGCGAAAGCGGTTGATTATATTGAGACTATAAATAAAGAAAAGATTTAATATCTTCTATTACTACAACTTGTAGCGGGGTAATATGTATGTGAAAAGCTACCCGCTTTATTCTCCAATTTGTACTACATAAATAAAAGAATACCACAATGAAGTGATATTTATTGATATAAAAACCCAATCATAATAAACTTGGAGTTTATTCATAATTGCACACATCATGGTGTAAACCTGAAGTTTATCAATATTGATAATTTATTCAGTGGCATAATTGGTTTACCCATATCAATTTTAAGTATGATGTGCGAAAATAAAAGAGAATTCACATGGGTAAATATTAAAGAACTAGAAAGTTCTTTACGAATTCTCTTATGTTGCATGTTCTCATTAATTAATATACCAACTAAAATTGGGATTGAATCCCATGAATGCTGGAAATATCAAAGGTGAATATGAGCCCATTCACCTGCCATGTATACCACATAAGATGCATCTATGAGATGGTTGCAATTATTATTGACCGGCAACCTGGTGTTTGCGAGGTAACTTACTCAATAATTTAATATAGAGCATAATTTCCAGATTTTTTATTCAAGATACTTCTTCTTGATAAGTTGGTTTACATCATAGTTGGTTTAGCAAAATGATTTATTGAGTGCCTCCATTTAATAGCTAAACTATTGCTTATGGGAACAAAGTTATCTATATCAGTTTGATATAGGTTATATACAAAAGTATATTACATTCTCCCCTCACAAGTGGTTCAGGGCCAGGAACCAAATAATTCCATCTTATTATTATTGATGTGCGGTGTATATTTTGATTAACACCATAAAACACAAAGATGAGTTCTCAAAGTTGAGGAAACAAGTTAGTTTTTCTAACATGAGGGGGAGACATGATAAACAGTTGAGAAAAAGTTACGTGGAATGAATTATCATTTGTTCATATAGATCCTCGAATAAGATAATATGAACTTGAAGTTCATAAAAAGATAATTCATGTGCAATTTATTGCAAAGCATGTCAGACGCATTTGCTGACCCAAAGAAAGTAACTATATTCTCATTGCAAATGCTCCTATTAAGTCCTAGAAGGACAAAGTCTATGGTAAGCTTAAAAGCATATAGACAATCGGTTTCAAAATAACACTTCTTGATAAAAGAAGATGAGCAAAATGATCAAAAATAATCATAAATAAAGGAGGCAAGTGAT